TCAATTTGCAACTAGGTAATTGACTTAACTGTAATGGAGTTTTATCAAAAGATTTAATTTATAATGTATTTTACCTTAAATTTAAACGTATAGTTGGTAGAAGCAAAATCTGTTATTTTATAAAGTAAATTATAGGGATAAACTTTTAACTCATAAAGACTTTTTTAAAGAGGAATGTTTGTATAATACTAACAAGGTTAAACACAAAATTTAGTTATATACCTAAGGCTGTTAGTGTTGCTTGCTAATTGATTGTTAATTTTTTTCAAATTTTAATAGTTGTAGTTATGTCTTTGTATTGTTTATTATTATATATTTTTGTACTATTTTGTTCTTCAAATTCAAGTGTAATTTTTTGTTATATTTTATTTTTCAATTTAAATTATATGTCCCCAGACAAGTTAATAACTTAAGGGGTTATTTATTATTTATCTACTGAAAATTATACTGTATTGTAATGTGTGTAGTTTTATATAGTAAATAAATAAATATTTATTATTTATTCTATATTAAAAATTTTGTGTGCGCTAAATCAAAAAATCAAAAAATGACCAAATGCCCAATTTCACATAATAAATTTTAAAAAATTATTTAAATTTATTTAGGGTTTTACTTAAAAAAAAAATCCTAGTGATAATGTCTCAAAAGCTCCAAGCCAAATCGTGTCGGCGTGGCCGAATATCGAAGGTCAAAGGTCATAAAAAAACGTTTTTCTTGATTATCTCGTAAACTTTTTATTTTATTTAAATTTTGGTTGTAATAAAACTTATTTTACGGGTTAATCAGCATAAAATGTCAAAATCCGCTTTTTTCGATTAATTTGTAAAATATTGATTTACTTAAATTTTGCCGGTTAATATTTATTTTCTTAATCGAAAGAGCATACATTGAAAAGTGTATATTCTATTGTTTTGATTGATCCGAGCAACCTCAGTGCCTCCATGGCCCGCCATCTTAAAAAAACTTCAACTATGGAGACAACATTCAAAAAAGTTTTTTTCTGTGACCATCAATATTTTAAAACCACCCAACATATTTATCCATAAGAGATAATCAAGAAAAACTGTTTTTTACGACCTTTTTAATATTATGTGAGCTTATTGGATAAAGTTACTAAAAATCAAATTCAAAAGATGCAAAATTCTTATTACAGGTTTGTTTTTAATGTTAGGAAATTTGACCACATATCCCCTTATTTTAAACGTCTAAAGTGGTTAAATATGGAAAATGTATATCGACTTAATTATTCTTGTCTTGTGTTTAAAACGCAAAAAACCTCAATACCACAATATTTAAGAGAAAATTTGATGTCAAGTTTCAAAAATACAAAATTATCTATTGATACCTTTGTTCTGAAAACTGAATATCTCAAGTTGAGGAGCAAAACGCATAATATATACAAATATATATTTATTCATATATTATATCACGAGAACTATGAATTTAATCGGTTAAACTAGGCTCAGTAGTTTTTTGTTTGGTTTTTGTTGGAAAATGTTGAATGCAAAATAATTTAATAAAATCACGAGACCGCGTAGCGGTCGAGGGGTTTTATTTTTAATTATTTTGCATGAAACTATTTTTCAAAAAGAAAAATCAAATAAAAAACTTACTGAGCATAGTTTGACAGATTAAATTTATAGGTTGAGTGATATACGTCTAGATTATTTCCCTAATTAAAGGAAACTATTTGACAATTCATAAAATCTGACGTATGTGTCAAAATTTATAAATATGTTTTTAAAGAAAATTCCATTAATTTAAGTAAAGTGACCAGATTCTGTCAAAAAATAGAGGGACATTTTGTATGAATTTACCTTAATTACAAAATTGACACAATGATACAATGCAAATTGTAAATTTGACGTTACTTAATTATTGTTGATGTTGTCATTTTTGTAATTAAGGTTAATTTACACAAAATGTCCCGTTATTTTTTGACAGAATCTGGTCACTTTAAATTTAAGGTATGTACAAGTAATAAGTAATTATTGATATTTCGTAAACTAGATAACTTATTTTTTATTGTTTTTTAAAAAATGTTTGTTAAAACTTGTAAATAAAACCATAAAATCGTAAACAAAAATCCAATATGGCGGCTAAAATTTAATCGCTGTTAAATAGTTCTAGTGATTTAATCGCTTATTTAAACGAAATTTATTCGAAAATTCAAGGCTTTTGATTGGTTCATATTATAATGAGGGAAATAATCTTTTTTATTTTAATTTATTTTGTTAAGAAATTATTTTTCACTACTTATGATTTGTTCCTGATTAAACTATTTTGATTCTAATTTTGATTTTTATTTTTGTATTACACTTGTGTGATACACGACATGACGAAAGGTCGAGTAGGTAAGATGACCTTGAAAATTAAATGATAATAATGCAAAAAATCTCATTAACATTCGCTTAGCTACTGTGTCGCGCGTTGGAGGGAGGTGAGGCCACGCCCCATACGTTTCCCTATATTCGGTTTTACTCTGAACGGGCTGTATTTTAATTATTAAGTGACCATGTTTTATTTTGTTTTTGTTTTTTTTATAAAAATAAAAATTCATTATGTATAGTAGGTTTAAGTTGACGAATGATTCATGATCAAACTTTGCCCTTTTGATGTACCTAATACTTATGTCAAATAAAGTCGTTGTATTATTATTATTAATAATAATAATAATTATAATAATACTGTTTATTTCCATATAAAAAATTTACATTTTGTTGGATAATGTCAATTATAAAATAGTAGTATATAAATTACAAATAATAGTTTTTACATTTACAATTAATATGATACAGACATGTAATTGTGATAAAAACATATGATAATTATACAAACATATGATAGTGATACAGACATATTATACATTAAAATCAAAATTGAAGTATTCTTGCACACCGAAAAATGGGTGCTGAGTAAAAAAATATTTTACCTCTTTTTTAAAAAGTTTGAGTGTGAGGTTTTTTGTGGCAGCTGGTAATTTATTGTAGATCTTGAGAGCTCGAAAGTGGGTAGATTTTTCATAGGTGGTTGTATTGTGCATCGGTATACTGATCAAGTGTCCGTATCTAGTTGGTCTAGATCTGTTGTATGCACAGTTTGGAGAAAAGTATTCTTGATGCATTTTTGCAAACATAACTATATTGTACAGGTACAGAGAGTATATGGTCATTATGTTTAGTTTAATGAATATAGGTGCAGTGTGGTCTTGATAGCCCGATCCGTTATACTATAGTAAAGTAGTTATTATATATACTATAGTAAAGTCCAACTTTCCAATTTTTTTAGCCTTATATCTCGAAATCTACTAGTCCGGCGTAAATTTTGTACTTTTATTACAACATAAATTAACGTGAAATAAATCACGAAAAACGGTGTTTCGTGACGTTTGACCTTCGATATTTGGCTTAAATTATCCTAGAAAAGGTATACGTTGACTAGTAAAATCCAAACAGGTTATAAATAAAAAATTCAATATCTAAATACCGTTCCTGTATTTTTTTAATTTTTGGTTAATTGGGTCAATATGGGCTCTGGATATATTTCATAGGTTTTGTATAAATTAGAATTCTGAAACTAATATAAAATAACAAATACGTAGCTCCTCAGTACTAATAAAGAATGTGTGTGTAAATATTTTTTTAAAGCTTGACCAAGTCTTCTTTTAAGTTACAAACCGCCTAAATTAAAATAGCTTTGTTATAAAATACACTCGAGATTAGCATTACATAAAGATGGCAATGGTATCGCTATTTGATATAAAGGGTTTTTTTTTTTTTTTTTTTTCATTTCACATTTATTTGCATCATATTTTTTTGTTCATATCTTATGTTTATACTTAACTTTAACATTGTCCTGTAATTGGATTTATCTGTTGGCAATAAAGAAATTATTATTATTATTATTATTATTATTGTTATTTTTAGCGTTTCAAATAAGCAGCGTGTGTTTTTGAAGGTTATCTTTTGTCACGGCATTTACTCGGTAAGTATTTGCAGAATTTAATTTTCTTTTTCATGTAAAGTAAACCAATTTCTTTCTTTTAATTAATACAATGTTTTATGTGCATTTATTGTGTCACTTGTAAAATAGATTTTTTTATTGTGAAAAATGTTTTATTCATCACATGTATCTTTTGTCACACTGCACTGCTATCGCTACGACATTAAAACATTATAATAATACTTTTTAAGCGAAACTTTACTTTTGAGAATATCATTAGAAATTACTTTTAGTTTATGGATATATAAATTTAATAATTAATTTTTTAGAGGTAGATGGGGCTTAAATGATAATGACGTGCAATTACCAAACAATATTGCAAATTTATATATTTTTACGATAGATTTTATTATATTAAATAAATGTGTCAATCTATATTTAAAATAGGGTGGTCGTTAAAAATTAAATTTTTTGCGACGCCCCCTAAAAAGCTTCGTTTTGATAAAGAAACACTGGGAATTTTTTTTTAGTTAAAAACAACACGTGCCTCAAGACGATTAACTTTTTTTGGTATAATCATGTTTTTTGGGAATTTTTTTATAAAAAATAAAATTTTATTCGAGATATAAACAATTATAGAACCCAAATCAATAAAAAAAAATAGTTAATCAAAATAACAATAGACAAAAATTTTAAATTCAAAATTTTTCCCAGTTCATTTTGTCTATTAAATAAAAAAATGAAAGATATTCAAATTGATATTTTTATTTTAAAACTAAATTAGTACAAACGTAATTTTAATATCTAGATTTCTTCACTCCAAGGTGAAGTTATTTCATTGTTAATAATTTTTAAATCTCAAAAAAATTATTATTCCATATTTTCAGAAAAGACAGGCACGTGTTGTTTTAAATTTAAAAAAAAATTAAAAAAATGTACTTACAGTGTTTTTTTATAAAAACCAAGCTTTTTAGGGGGCGTCGCAAAAAATTTAATTTTTAACGACCACCCTAAGATACATCCAATACTAAAACTTAAAAAAAATCTTCATATCTTACCATATCGTCCTTGGTATCATCAGGCTTGGCAGGACATATTTTCTTCCTAAAAATAATGGCAAGCAGCCCGACGACAAGAAAAACCCCACAAACGGAAACAATCGGAACAATTGTGGCGGTCAATTCAGGTTGGGATTTGACAGCTTGATCGTATGGTACGATCTCGTTACTCTTCTCGTCTTTAACAGGAACTTCCGGGGCCTTCGACGTCGGTTGTGTGGTGATATCAGTCTTGTTTTGTTTCTTGTTGACCGGTTCGAGCCGGGTGAGATGCGTTTTCTTGGGCAGAATTGGTTTTTCCACTTTCGCCGTTGTTCTACGCGGCGGCACAACTTCTGGGTAGGTTTTTTGTTGGAAGTGGGGTTTGGTGGAGTTCGATCCAGGGAAATAGTTTGCCGGACCGTTGTTGACTATAGATGGGGGAGGATTGTTCGCCAAGGAGAGATTAGGTCTTGGAAAACCTAGCGGTAATGAAGGTAAAAACGAATGGCGATTGTTTTGAGATGTTTGTCCTATTTTGGCGAATACTTCGATTTTGGCTGGCAAAAATCCATTGGTTGCTATTACGTATAGTTTTATTTGTTCGCCTGCCTAAAAAATACAATATAAAATTTAATTTTGTATTCGCTGTATTTTCATATTATTTAAAATGTATAATTATTCATTTGTTTTTGAAATACAGGGTTAATATATTTCTGGAGGTAATTCTACACGTAAATATAAATTAAAAAGTTACCATTGGCAGATGTCTGAAAATGCCTTCTTGGGGCGCTTTAGACATTTTAAACTGTTTCTAAAAATCAGGTTTTTACGAGGGGTAAACCACTTTAAAATCTTAGAGACCAACGTTCAATGTTAGTGGACGTTATGTTGAGATTTTTTTTCTTATCAGTCGTTATAAATAACAGTAACAATAACAACTCGAACAGTGAAAAACAAAAAGGTCCTAAAAGCTGTTTCCGCTAATCCTGCGAATAATTGCTATGCAAGAGGACGTTCCAAAAAGAACAGTTTGGGAAATATTGCAAGAACAACTGCTATATCCCGATCATTTACAGAGAGTACAGCACCACCAGATGATTTCTTGCCTACAAAATACCCCGAAAATAAAGCATTTTTGTTTTCGCACTAACTTTTCTGAAATAATTAATAAAAACCTGATTTTGCCAAACAGTTATTGTAATAATATTGTAATTAAGTGTAAATCTGAAAAAAACGTGTTTACATTTATAATTCTAGGTTTTTTTAATATATAACTGCACTTTTTAATTATTAGCTAAACGCTCGGACACGTAAACCAAACACGAATTTGTAATCTACGACCAAAAATTAATTTTACATGTCCGAGCGTTTATTGTAATATTTGCACCTCCCTACAGTGTTATTAACCAACTTTATAAAGTTTAGTTATTTAATTAATTTTTTTATATTTAAATTAAAACATTCCCTAAATATTGCTAAAATAGTATGTTATGTATCAAGTTTGATAAACGGTATTCTATACACGAATTTAATTTAGGCACGAGCGAGCTTGCCAGCGAGTGATTAAATTAATAAGTGTATAGAAAAGTTTATAAACGAGGTGCATACTATACTTTTTCTACGACAAATACTTATTATTATCTTAAAATGATTTAAATCAAAAATTTGTATAGAGCGCCATCTATGAAACAATAGGGGAATCTGTGTGTCACCGTCAAATGTCACATTTTTATATTTAATAAACACAGATTATAAAGGTTATAAATCGAAATGTATTTCTTGAAAATTGACAGTTTTCCACAGTGAAAGTTAAGAAAATGTTTTATGAGGACTTTAGAGTAGAGTCCGTGCCCGAATTTAAGTTAGTTTACTGCCGGCGAAATTAAAAGGTCAGTACAATGTTCATATAAACTTTTCAAATATTGGCGTTGAGAAACTATTTAATACGTTTGTATTTTTGTATTGAGATAATAAAATTATTTTTATGTAGAATAGAAGGGCATACTAAGATGCAGGGGGTAATGAAGTACACCGGCTGTACATACTAAATGAGTAAAGCAAATCGCTTGCCGTCGCGACGCGTCGGTATAGTACACCGTGCATTACCATGACAACATTCATAAAACACGTGTTTTTAAGGTTATAGATTTTTTTTCGCGGCGTAAGAAAACATAAATTTTACTTGAAAGAGTTAAGTTTTCTTTGATTTGAAATTTTTTATCGAGATTCTGAAGTCGTCGACAAAAGTGCTACAGGGCATTCCAAACAAGTGTCCTAGTGTTAAAAGGACCATCTCACGCGGGTCCATACAAATCCCTACTTTCCATTGTTTTCATACACCAAATTTTTAAACTTCGAGAAAAAGTACCTTTGGTTTTTCGGTCCTAGCTTGACGTCATTTACAAAAACCTTAGCAAAGCAAACATGTAGCAGGATAATTTGTAGAATTCAAATCGGTTTAAAAATAGGGTCACGCGAGGCCTCAAACAAAACGTGCACAAATTACCCCCCTCTACTCTACTGGTTGTCCCCACCAATGTGGCAGTTGCTATTAAATCAATTAACGTGAGTTTATCCAGTTCATTTGTTTTCTGGAAGTTTTTGTCTTTTGCAAGAAGGGCACTTTATTTTAACGATTGTATGACCTTTGACAACTATCAACTAACTTAAAACTAACTCCAGCCTGTGACCAAAACGCCATAAAGCCACAACTTGTCAATGTGTATTTGAAAATTCACTTAGTGTCATGGAAACATGTACGATAATGGGCGTTTTAAAGGTGGTAGTACAACAAACTTTTTTCCTCAAATATGTCTCACAAACAAATCGTTTTCCCGGGCGCTCTTCATTTAATTAAAGATAAACGATATAAAATATTTCGTGACAGAATCGTTTACAAAATCTTTAATTAAATAAACATACGCAGACAAAATAAATTAACAAAATATATGAACATCGATCCGACTTCGTTGCCGAATTTAAATGGAAATCGTATTTAGAAACCAATCTCCCAAATGTTTTGTACTCGAATTCCAATAAAATAATACTCTATCTTCATCAAATATAATTCTAAAATAAATTTTTGAACTGTCAAATTAATTACTATAATTGATTTTGATAATAATTATTCATAATATTAATACCCTTGGGACAACTATCTATACTATGCATATTTACTAATTTTTAAATATCCATGTATGTTAAACCTTAAGGTAAAATATTATTATTCTCAACCAATTTTTTTTTTAATTCTTATTATAATTAGATTTTTCCCATTACTAATAAGTATAGTTTATTATTATTATTATTATATTTTTATGTTAACAATTTAAAATTGTAACATATTTATTGTACTTTTTAATATACAAAAATGTTATGAGAAAGAATTGAACCTACACCTCGCCAAAGTTTTTTGTTTTGCGTTCCATCAACTTCAAATACCGATAGACAGGTGTTTTGACCTATATTGGGTATCATCAGTGTCGACACGACACTGTCGAGCAACTTGTAGTAGTGGAACCCACCCAAAGCAAAGAAATACCTGAGCTTATATAACATGGTTGGTAAGCCAACAGAGGCGAGATGTAAGAACATCACGTGATCCATGGATCATGTGCACACCGTCTAACGACGCGTCGCGACGTGGCCTTTGCCGCAGTCGGTACATACTATGCAACCAAGTAGGTTCAATTCTTTCTTATAAGTATTACCAGTAATAGGTCAAGAAAATTGAATGTTTAAAATGTCATGAGTTATTGTATATTATATTTAAATATATTGTTTATTTACCTTAAAAGTATATTTATTTTTACTATATTTTTTATTAATGTGTAATATATTATAATATAAGATGTACATTTGATTAAATCATATAGTAAATATTACTATTTGTAGATAGTAAAATCAATTTACTATACGAACATATTAAAAATTAAAATATATATTATACATTTATGATTTAGTAATATTGGTGTTGTAATCTTTACTAAATAGTATTTTGTATTACAATCTTAATATTGTATTGACGAATATATAATATTGTTACCATAAAAATTTGTTAAAGTAAATTATACTATATTTTTTTTACTATCTAAAATTTACTATACATTTCTCTCCGTGTGGTCAATAAAAAATGGAAATTTTGGGTTTGCTAAAACGTACTAAGGTTGCCAGCCAAATAAACTCTAATTAAAATGTTAGAAAAATAAGTCTACAACCAATATGTATCAATTGTATTCAAAAGCAATAAATTAAAATTTTTATTGGAACACTGTGTATATAGAACCCAATTAACAAAGACGTTTGTGATAGCATATATTGTTGTAGCTGAAATTGCTGAGAGATTGGTTGGATAGCACAACAGACATTAAACACGTATGAAGCCAAAGCCCTTAAGGTTTAAAGTAATACTAAACATTATTAAAATAAACGTAGTGTACTTTGCTAAAACAGAACTATAAATTCGTATTAAATCCGAGTGGGCTCACAATTTTTTACACTTGATATTATAACTTTTCTGAAATATGGTAACATTCAATGTATACTATTTTTTATACCTTTTTTACCGTGACGTCAGAGTGTCTGACGTGAAAAATATATGGAGTAGTTTTTACACTTACCCTTCCTTTGACTGATTCGTTTAGCTTAACAACGCCTGTATAGGGATGGATAGTAAAAGGCAAATTATTAGATTCATTTTTGCTGTTGTAAAAACCGATAACCTCCAAACTAAACATTAAAGAGTCATCGTTATTGTTTGTCTTCACTTGAGCTATCCTACTTCCGACCACCTCGTCTTCCGGTATGTCCCACGTCCTGTTGTCCAGATACATTGAAGGGGGAGTCAATTGACTGCAAACTGAAATTTAAAGAAAATAACTAGATAATTTAAAATATTTTACTTTTTATAGAAAATACAGTACCTAGGTATTTTTCTTTTGCAAAAAGTTCAATAATAGTATATTAAGTTCAATAATAGTATATTAAGTATCAAGTTTTATAAACGCCATTTTAGACACGTATATAATTTAGGCACGAGCTAGAAAAGTTTATTAACGAGTTGCATATTATACTTTTTCTACAACAAATACTTATTATTATATAAAAATAATTTAAACTAAATATTTGTATGGAGTGACATCTATAAAACAATAGAGTAACCAACTTGGGAATCTGTTTTATCGGCGTTTTTATTCGCAGGTAAAAATGTTAAATTTTTATGTGTAAATCGAAATGTATCCCTTAAAAATGGTCTAACAACAGTTTTGTATAGTGAAATTAAAGAAAATGTTTTATGGACACTCCACGGTGGAGTCTCCACCCTAAATTAAGTTAAATCTAGTTTACTGCCAGCGAAACTGAAAGGTCAGTTCATATAAACTTTTCAAATATAGGCGTTGAGAATCTATTTAATAGTTTGGTATTTTTTTATTGAGATAATAAAATAATTTTTACGTTTAGTATTATTTTACAAGAAGGGCACTTTATTATAACGGTTGTATGCCATTTGAAAACTGTCAACTAACTTAAAACTAACTTCAACTCGTGACTATAAGGCCATAAAGCCACGACATGTCAGGTCACTTAGTGTCATATAAAATGTACGATAATGGGCTTTTTAAAGGTGGGAGTAGAAAAATACATTTTTGAGGATTATTTTTATGAATATTTTGTGAAAAAAATGTTACTACTTCTAATCATCAAAATAATCAAAATGATGTTACTTATTAACCAAAATTTGTATGCCATTTTGGGGTGTAATTATAAATAAACTCATAAACCTAATTATATATAAAAAAGTGTATGATGATAAATAGGTAGGTACTTATATGGCTTATATGCGGATGGGGATTTAATAAAAAGGTACAAAATTTATTCAAATTATATTCTCCCTTTGTAATTAAAGGCCTTTTCAATAAATGTGAACTCAATTAATTCGTAATTGGCATTTATTTTATTTCTAAAAAATTTTGCAATATTGGCAATTAGTATACCTATTTGAAATATGTCATTAATTTAATATTGTAAAATAACACAAAATATACAAGTAGGTATTGAATTCTATTTTGTTAAAATAAATTAACGATTTATAGGCTTGTATACAAAAAATGGATGAAAATGTAGATTAATGTGTTTTTTTTTAATATTTTAAGAACCGTTGCTAGATAATTTATAAATTGGAATAAAAAATATTTTACTTTAACTGTGAAAAAACGCGTCAATGTCGAATTTAAACAGTTGTTAGTCCATTTTTAAAAGATAAATTAGGATTTATACAGAAAAATTTGACAAAAACATCAATTTTCATCGTCAGTTCATCGTCGGTAATACAGATTTCCAAGTTTTTATTTTTGTATAGATGTCGCTTTATACTAATATTTAATTTATATTATTTTTGAGATATATACCACAAATATTTATTAGTATAGAAAAAGTATATTATGCAAGTCGTTAATAAACTTTTCTAGACGCTTATTTTATTAAAAACTTCAAGCAAGCTCGCTTGTGTCTAATTATAATTCGTGACTTAACTTGATACGTAATATACTATTTTAAATATTTTTATACATTTACGGGCCTTTTTTTAACAACACGCTTTTTAAAAATGAATTAGTCAAAAATGACTAATTTAATAGTTTGGTGGCTGCTCTTTCACTTGTACCATGGTTAACCAAGGAATACCATCGTATCCCAAAATTAAACAGCCAATTCTTTTGTAAAATTGTCCCCAGAATCCGAAAATACCGTCATAAATTATGAAAGTGAAGGAGTTTTTGAGATATGGTCAATTCCATATTAAATGGAAAATTGACTATATCTCAAAAACTGTTTTACTTTTTTTAACTTTTGACGACATTTTCGAATTCAGGGGACAATTTTACATAAGAATTGGATATTAAATTTTAGGATACCATGGTTTTCCATGGTTAACCATGGTACAAGTGAAAAAGCAGCCACTAAGAACTATTAAATTAGTCATTTTTGACTAATTCATTTTAAGAGACCGCGTATTGTCTTTTTTCTTTTGAGTTTTGAGAATGTTTTTAAGATAACAGATATCAAATTTTATGATTGGCCAAAATAACAGTGAATATTAAAATCGGCCAATTACTGACGCCTAACAACTACTTACTAGCCCATAATGATTTTTGTGGGCCTAGGCTATAATCAATCACTCGAGTGTTTAATTTATATAAAGACCGTTTAAAGATAAGTATGTATAATCAAGTCACACTTATTTATTTAAAAACCTAATTTATACAATTTATATGTATTGGTTAAGGTTATAAAAATAATTAAATTATCATATTTTATAAAAAATGTAAATTTTAATATTCGTTTTTATTAAATTTGAACATCAGAACAACAAAAATAATAAATTAAATTATTTTAGAAAAATGAATTAAATTTTCATATTTTATAAAAAATTGTAAGTTTTAATATTCGTTTATATTTAATTGAAACACACAAAACAACTAAACTAAAATTGAAATATGCACATTGCATGTTTTGAGCGTAAAGGTGCTTTGACTTTTTATTACTAATTTGTAAAAACAATTTCCCTTTTGACCCACTTTGTTTTTAATTAAACCCGAAGTAGGTTTATTACTAATTATTAGATAGTTTCTTTAATGTTATGTTGAATATTATGCAGCTGAAACAAAGTTTAACCAATAAATTGTATGTTATACAAAAAACATCTTTAATCATTTCAAGTAAGAGTAGACACAACATGCGTAGGTACATGATATTAATTTTCAGACAAAGAAGAACGTGTTATTGCCTAAAATTGGTGTATTTTTTGCTAATAATTTTCCATCGTTATTACTTATTATTCGTCTGTAACCATTCAGCTACTTTGATGAATATCTGAAAAGACCAAACGTTTTTTTTGTTTATTTTTCTTATTAACTAATTTAATGTTTTATCAAAATTAGAAAGATATAACATGGTGCAAATTTTTATCTACCTATATTATGATAAAGCATTATGCTTGAATTTTAATCTTTATTCTTTGTTTGCCCAACTATTATAAAGTTAAACTAAATCCTTTCAAATTTAAAAGCTGTTGTTTTTATTTTAACATCATTTTCTAAACAAAACTTTAAACTTAAAAAAGTATGAAAATAACTAAAAAAAATGCCGGATTGATTAAAATTATTAAATTAAAATTATTCAATACTATTATAGTATATACCGGGTGTATCTGAGAATAGGCGCACCCCTGTAACTTTTTTATTTATAAAGATATAAACATGAAATTTAGCATGATTAATTAGGATATAAAATGCCACTTATAAGAGTACAAAATGAATTTTTAGAACTTCCGGTTTCGCCGGAAATGATACCAACTTTTGATTTTTAAATGAAGTGCCCCATGTATTTTTACATATTTGGAATCCTGAGGAAATTCTGACTCAGACAGCATCCTCAAGGTGACCTTTTGACGTTTCGTCATCAGAAAATGTATCATCATAAAGATCAATCTAGAGTGCTTTGAACTATCCTATTTTCTTCTAATGGATTCACACAATGGAACTTTCCTTAGAAAGTTGTTATTCAGCTATTCCCAGCAGTCTAAACTTGTCAAAATTCTCAAAAAGTTCAAAGCACTCTAGATTGATCTTTATGATGATGCATTTTCTGATGACGAAACGTCGAAAGGTCAATTTGAGGATGCTGTCTGACTCAAAATTTCCTCAGGATTCCAAATATGTAAAAATTTATAGGGCATTCCATTTAAAAATCGAAAGTTGGTATCATTTCCGGCGAAACCGGAAGTTCAAAAATTTCATTTTGTACTCTTATAAGTGGCATTTTATATCCTAATTAACCATGCTAATTTCATGTGTATCTTTATAAATAAAAAAGTTATAGGGGTGCGCCTATTCTCAGATACACCCGGTATAGGTCATCAAATATTTTTTAGGGTGTGACCCCGCCAATTTTTTTTTTAATTGGAGTTATTATCTACATGAAAATAATAACACAGTCTTAATATTAAGAACTTTCATATTAATCCTTTTTTAAATTTTGATAATATTTTGTTTTTTTATATTCTTAGCTTTCTTAATAAAAATATGCGATTTTTTTATCCTTAGGGAAATTTTTATTTTAAATTTGATATTTTTCTAAAAGCTTTGTACATAAAATATGTAATTTTCACGATTGGGTTGTTTTTTAAAAATATTATAATAAACGTATTTTTTTACTTTCATCACAAAAACATACATACATACCTATATTATATTATTTTTAGAAAAAAAGATAAAATTGTTTTTAAAATGAGAGGTTTCGTTACGATTTCGTTACATAGGTGGCGTTGCTGGATTTGTTTATATACCCGGTGTTTCGGTTCAGAATAACTTTTTTACTATGCGTTTTATTTATTATTTTATTGAAAAATATAAAAAGAAATTCGATGACAATTTCTATTAAAGTCTCAATGCAAAATGAAATTTTAAAACATTTGCACATCATAAATAAATAAATAGTTTTTTCACAAAAGAGCAGAAGGCAAAATTCACCCGACAAATTTTGTTCGCAAAGTGTCAATTGCACAGCTAAATTGCGCACGTAATTTGTCTTTCGCGTTGCAAGTAAAAACTAAAAAATATCATTGATTAAGAAACTCAACGCTTATATAGTTACGTTAGTGTGTATATTTTATCTAAGTTGTAATGGTTGTACAAACATAACCTTAAAATCAAACATTTTTATATTTGAGTCCTCTAAAAAAATGCCGACAACTGCATTTTAAAGTAGTAAACGACAAAATATAACTACGAATTCATGACAATATAATATTATATATAATACATAATATAATACCGGTTCTTGGTATTTTACCGTTGAATG